GATAGATTGATTGATTGATTGATCGATCCATTGACTGATCGATCCATTGATTGGTTGATTGATTGATAGAACCATTGATTGTTAGTTTGATTGGTTGGTCCATTAAGTGGTTAATTGATTGATCGATCCATTGATTGGTTGATTGATTGACCGATCCATTGATCGGTTGATTGATTGATTGTTTGATGAGATGGGGTGAAAGCGAGCTTGGGATGTGAGGGAGGCACTGGCTCTAACAAAAGTCGAGCTTGCTTTGTGCTTCGTACTTTGCAGGATGCCGAAGCATGCCAACGAAGGTGTGAAGAAACACTTTCTGGACTTGGAGCCAAATGGGCTAGTTGATAAAGGAAACAGGAACAGGTTGTGCAAGTATTGTAAGAGGTCTGTCGTTGGCACTACGAGCAGGGTCATGGACCACTTCCTCTTGAACTGATGCAAGCTCAGGTCGTTGAGAGCGAGATTGACCAAAGAGGAGTTGCAAGAAAGGAAAAGGGGGAGGAATGCTGCAATCGTAGAGGTTGGGGGGGTTGTGGGACCTGTAGACGAGCACTCAGAACAAGATGATTGTGAGGCAACCGAAGGGGAGGCACGAGAGATACCCCCACGCAGTGTCGTGGGGGCTGGATCGACGACTGGGACGAAGCAGTCCTTGATCAAGGACAGTGTTGCCGTCGTTAAGAAGAATGGAAGACGCAACAGACAATAGACGATTGGATGACCGCCCACTGCATCCCCTTCAACATGACGAAGAGTGACGAGTGGGACAACATGTTGAAGGCACTGATGAATGTGCACGAGTTCTTCAAGTACGCGAGATACGAGAAGGCGAGGACCACTCGTGTGGAGGTCGCGAAGGGGAGGGTTGCAGCAAGCTTGGAGGAACTGCGGCGGCAGTGGCCTGTCACCAATTGCTTGCTGCAACTGGACGGTTTGACTGATCGCATAGCAAGGTCTCACATCAATGTGATGGTGTCCTTCCCGAAAGGCGCAATCTTTTTGCGTAGTGTCTGCATGAGCAATCGGAGCAAGGGGGCAGTTGTGTATTATGAAATATTAAAACTAGAGATCGGGGAGGTCGAGGAGGATGATGTTGTGGGGTTGGTCATGGGCAACGCCTCAGTGTGCGCAACGGCAGGCCGGATGATCGAGGCCGAATTCCCTCACATCTTCTCGATTTCCTGCACGACGCACAACATCGACCTCATGCTGGAGGCATTCCCCAAGATTGGTTGGGTCGATGTGATGATCAGGCCCGCAGTCGAGGTTGGCAAATTCTTCACCAACCACACCTGCGTGAGGGACCTGCTGCTCTCCAATTCGAGCGGGGAGATTGTGGCGAAACCGGGCACAAATCAGTTCACCATAAATTTTATCGTGTTGAACAATCTGCGACGCCTCTACCTGCCTATTTGATCCTGCTTGATTGATGAGGCGTGGAAGGAGAGTATCGTCAACCCTACAGAGCGGCATTTGTTCCACGCGGCCAACGAGATCGTCCTCGACAACGTGTTTTGGGCTAGTGTGTAGAAGGTGTTGGAGTCTGCTGAAGTTCGTGGACCGGAATGGTCCCACGATCAGCAAAACATATGGCCGCATGGACACATTCAATTTGGTGGAAAATTTGTGAGAGAGCACAACCTTCACATAGGTGGAGAAGGATGAGTTGGAGACCATCATCATGCGACGTTGGAATGTCATGACATCCCCACTGCATTGCGGGGCTCTGTTTTTGGATCCTGAGTACAAAGTCAACAAGCCGGAGCAGGATCTTTAGGTCGCCAACAGGTTTTGGACGTGGGTGGATGCTTGGTGCAAGCCAGCGATGTACAAGGAGGTGGATGATGAGATGAACAATTGGATCAATGGCGTTGGCAAGTTCAAGTCGGACAAGGCGACGCAAGAAGCACGAGGGATGCAACCTGCACGGTGGTGGAGGAAATGGTGCAGCAAGTTTCCCCACCTCGAAAGGCAAGCAATCCGGTTGCTTGGTCATGACTCCTCCTCCTCCAATTGTGAACGGAATTGGAGCCTTTTCGAGCGCATCCACTCCCGCCCGCGAAACAGCCCTGAAACGGTAAAGTTTAGCACCTTGGTGTTCAACAGATGGAATTAACATTTGTTGAAGAAGTTGACGAAGAAGCCCAAGATGGGAGAGGATGAGTTTTTGTTGGAGGAGGATTTGGACCTCGAGAAGGAGGTCCAAGCGCATGCGGACATGCATGTGGAGGAGTGGCGGTCCTGTTTATGGGAGGAGAATAGGACAAGGGAATGCGATGACAAGTCGAAGGACGACAGCAAGGAGGACGACGATGACGATGTCGCAAATGCGATTGATGTGGAGGAAAATAATGGAGATGAAGGACAAATGGTACGCACACGGATCAAGGTCAGTCTTCTTGAGCTTGAGTGTGAGCTCAACAATTCTTGGCGGAAATCAACGAAGGCGTCCAAGTATTTGGCTCGCCTTCATTTGGGGGAGTTGCAAGAGGCTGTGAAGACCATTAATGAGGCACATGCCGGAAAATTTCTGGCTACCCGACCGAAGGCATCAACATTGGCACCGGAACCAGCCAAACGTAAAGTTAACTAGGGATGCCACGAAAGGTTTTGGAGGAGGGGGCTTTAATCCAGGACAGTGGTGGTGTCATTGACAATGTTGAGGAGGAGGAATATTGTGACTCCCAAGAGCAGCCCGTCGGGGCCGCACCCAAACCGCCGAACCGCAAGCCGAGGAGACCACGGAAGGTCGCGGAGGAGGAAACTGCTGCAATGGAAGAGAGCAGCGGGACTGGCGAGAATGGTGCGGAGGGCCGGGAAGAGGAGGCCTTTGATTCCGAAGAAGAGCCGCTTGCACGCAAGAAACGCAAACAATCAGAGTCAACACATTGAGGCAGGATACTTGGGGGTTGGAGCGGGTGTGAAACTGACACTTGGGGGCTGGAGTGGGTGTGGAAGTTTGCGGTGTGTGTGTGTGTTTGTGTCCTGTGTGTCGGTTCAAGATTCCAAGTTTCGAACTTTGACTTTCGAAGAACGTCAGACGTTAATAAAATTAACATTTCCAATTTGATTAATGTTGAATTCATTAGCATGACCGACCAGTCTCACGAACCTGTGTGTCTATGTCCTTTTTTTTTTTTTTCCCGGACAACTGGACACCGACACAGCAGACCGAACTGCCCGGGTCCAGATGTCCGGTTAACCGGACGTCCGGTTTAATCCAGACACGGGTCCGATGTTTGTGTCCGGTTGTCCGGTTGTCCGGGTCCGGGGCAACCATGGACAAAATACTATGGTAGAGTGGGAGCCCCTTGTACGGGCTTTCACCATCCGTAAACGCTAACCTTGGTTAGCGCCTACGGAGGCGAAAGGGGGTCCGTGGAACGATTGGTGGACCATTGGATTGTGAATGTTGTTGTGACCTGTAACGACGCCATGATTTGTGCTTGTCACTCTCTGACTTGAGTTGGCTTACTCTGTCTTGAGTTGTATTCATACTATACTATACTATACTATACTGGAATGATGTCCCATGCTTATTAATAAGTTATTATTATTATTGTTTCTTTGTTTGTTTGTTTGTTTAACGCTTGGCACTTTATTACGGCCCAGTGCCCAAGGCAAATATACAACAGGTGTTTTTCTTTCGTTCTTTCAGTGACACTCTTTTTTTTTTTTTTTTTTTTTTTTTTTCAGTGACTCTCTTTGGTTTGAATCAATTAATCTGTGCTTTCTTTCTTTTTTTTTCTTTTATAAGAAAAGGGAGCTTTTATATTACAAGCCGAGGAGCGGGCCCGTCATCCCTTACAAAAGGCTGGCGGGTCTCAGCGGCAGGGTGGATGGGACAAACGAGCTGGTGATCGGGATCCGCAACAGTTGTGGCAAAGACAGGTACGGGCGAGATGGTATGCTGGGTGGCGCCATCCTCCCCACGTTTGTTGGGCCCGATGATGCAATTGGCCCAGAATTTGCCACCTTTGTTACAAGACACGGAGATGCAGCCTGTGTGTTCTGGAAAGCCAAACAGGGAACATACCTTTTTTTTTGGCACAACCATTTTACGCTTTACCGGTGGACCGGAGAGACTGGGGCTGGTTGGTGGACTGTTAAAACCAGCAGCCAGTGCTTCTTTATCAGTATACCACCAAGTTGGGGTACAACCTTATGAGACCCCGGACTGATGCCAGCTGGACTGTGGCCAGACGATGCATGGCAATAGGGTGGATACAGGATACGCTCCCGAGGCTCCCTCAGGCCTTTTCGGGGTATTGGAGACTGTTGTTGGACCTCCCGATTGTCAAACAAGCAAGTCATTTATGGCTCACGGTACATCTTGCAATACCGTCGCTTCTTGGTGTGCTCGTCGCACAGCCAAGGCCATGCCTTTTGTCGTATATGTCCTAGAAGGAGGATTGAGGATCTTGAGCATATGGTACCACATTGTGAGCTTTCTCGAAATCTTTGGGAATGATGGAGGTCGGGATCACACTAGCAAAGGGGACTTTTATTTATTTATTTTTAATTTTTCTCTGTTCCAATTTTAACAGATGTCTCTATTGTCTCAATCTCTCTGCAATTTTCTTTCTTTTTTTTTCTGAAAGGTATGTGGTGGCTGGCTTTTTCTTCCCTTTTTTTTATTATTATTCTGTTGTTGTTTTTCTAAGTTCCACGGCGAAGACGTCAAGGGTTTATTCCACTTCATTCCATCAGTGGGTGGTGGAGCGAGGTGAGCCAAAAGGCACGGGATATGGGGGAAGCCTCCTGATGAGAGGGGGGCGAGGTCCCACTAGCAAAGAGGATCGGATTGAATGCATGAATCTGCACGTGATCGTGCAAAGGTGCAGAAAATCGAGATTGGACTGATTTTTTGCATCTCTGCTCACAATACACCCAGATTCAGGACCTTAATCCACTCCTTTTTGCCAGTGGGACCTCGCTCTGGAGCGCACCCGGTTGAAACATGTAGAGGACCAAGTGCCATACCGTCTTCCCCCGAATACAACGCACCCTGAAAATGAATGTACGCTAGTTATGTTTCAGGCCCGGCACAACCATAATGAGGGTGCATTATGTTCGGTGGAAAACGGTAGCTCAGTTGGTACACCCCTGGAGTGTTGAAATACAGACCTGAGTGGGACCTGCGCTTAAGTCTACACGTTCTCGATGACCCAGGCGTGCTAAAGTGGATCTAGAGAACGTGTGAAGAATGGAGAATCAATACTAACCTTTTTGACAATGATGGCACAGGGCTAGGCAAAGGTCTCTCACTTGTATCCAAACCAGCTCAACCTGATCTCACGCGTCAAAGCGGTAAATAGGAAATTTGAAGAAATCCAAATCAGAAGGAAAATCCAACTACTAGAAAATAAATCAGACGATTCTTTCTTCTCCAAAATTGTTAACCACCGCAAACGAGTTAGACCACTTCAAGAATCTGAGAATACACAAATAAGACACCATAGCCTATCGGAGAAACATAGACAGGTAGACAGGATTCTGTATACGGATAGACTAAGCAATAAGCAATAAAACAGTTACTGCAGTAGCCCAATGCCGCAATACCACCCTTGTTACCTCCTTAGCCCACCCAGACGATATCTCAAAACCCCTTGCCAAAGACTCAGAAATCATTTGTGAATATGTAAAAATCTTTTACTAACAACTCCTTATCTGAGAGAAACCACCCAGCTCTCCCATTACCCCTCCCCACCTCGAGCATACGTTGTGGGATGGGGATGCAACCATACGCATCCTTTCAGACTCAGAATCACAATTTATTAAAATCCCCTATCACTCTCAAAGAACTGATTTCCGCTGTTAACAGCATGGCCAAGGGCAAGTGCCCTGACCCAGACGGACTACCAGTGGAATTCTACAAAAGGTTCTGGACCCTACTAGCTCCTGACCTCCTTCATGTCTTCAACCAGATTCTGCAGGACCAACCACTTGGCCCACGCAGGGCCGAGGTGTACAATCGCACTCCTCTGCAAAAAAGGAGACAAAACTGATGTCCAAAACTACAAACCGATATCCCTCCTCAACGTCCATGGCAAGATCGCATTAGGTAACCCCCCTCCTAAAAAAAAATAGTTCACCCAGACCAACCCGGTTTCGTGCCAGGTAGACAAGTAATCGACAACGTCATGACTATCTCACAATCTATAGACTGGACTAAACAACACAATATGAACAAAGCAGTAATCCTTATCGATTTTCAAAAGGCTTACGACCAAGTCAACTGGGATTTCGTCCAAGCCACACTCCAAAGAGTGGGGGTAGGGCAAAATTTCAAGAAACTTGTCAAAGCCTTGTATGGAGCATCATCCAGAAGGGTCGTAGTTAACAGGCACCCCTCCTCCCCATTCAGAGTCACTCGCTCCCTTCGCCAAGGTTGCCCATTAGCCCCCTCCCTTTTTGTTAATCAACTCGAAGTTCTCCTCAACATGGTCAGACAGCATCCCAACTTCGAAGGCCTTCAACTATCCCCCACATACTCAATCAAAGTATCTGCATTAGCGGATGACTTCTCCGCTATTTCATAAAGCTCTCCTTCCTCACTCTCAGCACTTGAAGAATGTTTATCCATGTATGAACTGGCATCTGAGATGAGGGTGGGTTGGCAAAAGTCCGTTGCTCTCATCCCCAATAACCAACCACTTGCGATAGACCTGGGCATTTCTGTCAAACCAAAATCTGAACCCGAACGCTATTTAGCGATTGACGTTTCCTTTGGAGACCCGCGGGACCTCAAAACACTATCATTGACAACAAAATTTGAAACTCCCGTGCTTCTGGGTCCAAAACCCATTTTGTGTCCCTATTTGGCAGAGCACTGGTTATCAACACCTTCATCCTATTTAAAACCTGGTACATCTTATCCGTTAGAGCACCACCCTCCACCTTGTTCATTAACATCAGATGCCTACTCACCCACCTACGCACCCGCCTATTGTGGAAAGGAAATGTTGAAGCCCCATCAGCACTCAATAAAGTAAGCTGGACTAAAATAACCGAAAAAAGAAAAGATGGGCGGGTATCCTCGACCCGAAAAACACAGAATCGCTTGCTGTTGGCCAAATGGCCAATTAGAGCGCTAACATCAAAAGAACAACAACCATGGATCGTAGTCACTCAACACCCTCTCGCCAAAGAATGGAATTTTTCTGATCCTGACGCCATCTGGCGTGCCCTACCAATGAAACCCTTCACCTCTAAACAGTCTACTGACACCTGGTATCACATTCTAAAGGCCTGGGGTAAGATTCTTCCCCAGCTCTTAGAAGAACCTAACACCAGAGATGAGATCCCGAACACCTGCCTATTCGAGAACCCAGCATTGCCAGCAATCCGCAGCAGAACCGGGCTTCTCTTTACAGTGGCAAAGTCACCAGGCAATTTCGGCCTCAAGTGGATGCAGCGAGGGATTTGGTTGATACGTCACATCTGGGATGACAACACAAGGAACTGGAAGGCGGTGAGCGACCTCGGCACACAGTTGAGTGGTCGGCACCACTCACTTGACAACCCTACCCGGCCTACCGAGCTCAGCGGTGCCATCCCTCAATCCTGGGTAACCACCCTTCAACAGGTCAACAAGGGAGCACAAGTGCAACAATAGTTTAAGAATCCCCCATCTCCAGACCTCCTTTACAGAATAGACAAGGTCATCGAAGACGGAACAGTGGAAGCCTCGGAGTGGCCTCTGAACGATATAAGACTTTCTCAAACAAAAGACGCCCAAAACATAGATCTAACGGACCTGCAGGAGGTAAAGGTACAGCAAACCAACACAGCTCAAGGGACTGCAGGCTTCAAATCATCATGCAGGCAACTAACTCCCTTCACCGCACGGAAGGTAGATGTCTGCAAACATGGTTGGATTCTCTCTGACAGGACCCAATGGCGGCGTCAACACCAGAGTTCCCATCAAAGACTATTCCTCTCAAGTAGGCTACAGCCTCCATTGAGAAGCTCATGTCCTGCAAGCTGGCCTAAGTCTCAATTGGCAACGAAAATCTGCATCTCTCAAACTCCCTCCACTGTCCACTCAATGGCTGACCTTTTT